GTAAAATAGTAGTTGATAACTTAATATTCTAGGTATTTTGATTTTTTAAGTTAGGTGTTACTTTATAAATATGATTTCAGATGTTATTTTATTGATTAACCAAATGTTACTGCTTACTCTAATAAGTCAAAACTATAATATGTTTTGAGAATTTGTTATTCTATCTTGACATAATCAAATTCATATCTTTATGTTTTAATTTAATAATATGTTATCCATATTTGGATTCTAGATAATCTAGATTCTAAATCATCTTGTAATAGGCTTCAGGAAGTTATTATTCTATTTATTCAAATTTATGTTTCTAAAATTTATATTGTAGTTATGCTTAGTGTTTGATCCAGATTCACTATAGTTGGGGCTAGAAACAAACTTCTTTATTGTAGTTTTGGTTAAATATTTTTGAAATTGTTTACTGTAGCTAGGATTAGTGTTTAATACACATCGAAAGCTAAAGAAGTTGTTGGTTTAGGTTGGTGGTGTCTATTAACATAAAGGTCTGATTAGGTTATCTGATATTTTGTATTGTATATAATATTAAATCTCTTGTTTGAATTATACTAGATATTACTAATCAAAATTAAAGGAATATAAACTTTATTTGGAGTCAGTACCATGTGGATAGTTATGTTTTTTTTGTTATTTTATCTCATAAATTCTACTTTGTGTATTGTTAATAATGACATGATCATATTAGATTTGTGTAAAATTAAATGTGAAAATAAAATAAAATTCTCTAAATGTAAATTATTTATTAAACAATTTTCATGTTGTTAATTATTATTAGAATGTTAGAATATTCTAGTATAATGAATTGTTTGTTTATATCCTAGTTTTATTGTTTTAATAAAAGTATGGTTTATGTTTTGATACAGTTGAGATGAAGAAAATACTAAATCAAGGGAAAAGGTGTTTTTGATCCTAAAAGAAAGAATGTTGAACAATTTCTATCATCAGAAATAGATAAAGGCAAAAAAAGTCATACTTCATGATAACTCGTCATATGATCAAGACACATCAACAGAATATGAACAAGTACATATGACATTATAGTTGTACTTTGAGAATATATGTTGTATAATGTCGATATTCAGTTATGTATTTACAAGAATAATACTTGTAGTGTTTTAGTTTTTTGTCATGTAATGTCAGTAACATCTTTTTGATATTACAAGAGTTTATATTTAAAGTTTATATGTATAACATTCTATTGAAATTAGGCTTTTTATACTCTTATAGAACAATGTTCTAGGATATTCTAAGTTATATGTAGAATATTCTAAAAGAATAATGTTCTACGTTTTTAATTAAGTTGATTTACTACATATAAATAATATATATATATATATATATATATATATATATATATATATATATATATATAATATTCTAATATAATAATATTGTAAATGACATCTTTTCAAAAGTTTTATGTAGAATATTATGATAGAATAATGTTATCGGATATTTTAAGTTATATGTAGAATATTCTAAGAAAATATTTCTTAATTAAATTAAACTTTTTATACTCTTATATAATAATGTTCTAGGATATTCTAAATTATATGTAGAATATTCAAATAGAATAATCTTATAAGTTTTCAATTAAATAAGTTGATTTACAACATCTAAATAATGTGTACATATAAAATATTCTAATATGATAATATTGTATATGACCTCTTTTCAAAACTTATATGTAGAATATTATGATAGAATAAGGTTATCGGATATTTTAAGTTATATATGTAGAATATTCTAATAGAATATTTCTTAATTAAAATTTGGCTGTTTTTATACTCTTATAGAATAATGTTCTAGGATATTCTAAGTTATATGTAGAATATTCTAATAGAATAATGTTCTAAGTTTTCAATTGAATAAGTTGATTTACTACATGTAAATAATATGTTTATATAAAATATTCTAATATAATAATATTGTATATGACCTCTTTTCAAAAGTTATATGTAGAATATTACGATTGAATAATGTTCTCGGATATTTTAAGTTATACGTAGAATATTAGGGTCATCTCATTTGAATCTAACGCATGATGTATCATGTTGATAATCTAATTGAATAATTTTATAGGTTTCTTATTAAATAATTTCATTTATTAAATAAAAATAATATGTATATGTAGAATATTCAAATAAAATAATGTTATATGTTATCGGTATTCTAATAGAATTATGTTATAGATTTTTAAATAAATAAGTTAATTTATTACATGCAAATAATGTGTAGTATATGTAGAACATTCTATTAGAATAATGTTATATGTTGTTAGTTTTCGAAAGTTTATACGTAATGAGCTTTTTAAAATATAACACTACTTGATTATATCAACAACAAATATCAATGTAGAATATAACATATAACAATAATCAAATCTAGAATATTAGTCATATTAAGAAAACACATTTAATTACATCATCATTTATAAATGTATATTAGAATATTACACTTATAAATTATTGAAAATAGAATTATACACTTCAATAAGGTATCAATATCATCAATATAGAACATATAATAATAGACTATATTATTAAATATGTGCACTATATCATGTATCATATTCTAAACGAAATATGGAAGTAATTGAGTAGTTCAACAAACAAAAATCAAAGTAGACTATAACATTATATATCTATACATGTAGAATATCCATAATCCAAACTAAATAATCATTAGTTGGAACGAGTTCATTGTTTGAGTGTGATTCTTGAGGCCATCATTAATTTGACCTACAAAAAAGTATTCCATTAATATTTATTATTGTATAAATATTTACAAAATTGTACTCTAAACTTAATTTTCTAAATATGTAAGGACGTATGAGTAATGATTTTCAATTATTCTAATCAGAATAATATACTATGTACTATGTAATGCAATAAAAAATATGATGAAATGGGACCAAGTACCACTTCTGCTTCATGCTAAACTGGTCCAAAGTCATCATTTACTTTACATGCTGCTAACAAGGTTGATAGTTACTAATCTAAACCTTTCACTCAGATAATGAAAATAATAAAAACAATAAGGAAAAATGTTTCAAGTTTCAAGCTTCAAGCTTCAAGCATCAACATGGTCTGAGATTTCCCTACAAAGATTACACTAATCTTTCATATCCGCACCATTTAGTGTACTTGTCACAATATGGTAAAAAAAACATTTATTTCAACAAGAATATGATTTAATCATTTAGAGGCAAACCAAAGGGCAATTTTTTTTTTTTGATAAGTATCCATTTCCATTTGAAGGTTAATGAATGTGCATGATCACTTGACTTGATGTAACAATTTTGTTCTACTGTGATTATCTTCAACCTATATATCTAAAGTTCACACTTCAGTGCCATAAATTGCTGCTAGATAGACGTTAATTAGGAGCATGTCTAGAGTTTAAATGCATTAAAACTTAAGTTCTGATTATTCTCTTAGGCATTTCATTAAACAGTTGGCATATCAAATAATACATCTCCAATTCTTTTGTCCTCAAATAGATGGTACATCAATTGCTACTAATGATGAGTTGTTGAAATTGTTCTGTAATGGAGAAATTGTTCCTTCTTGATGATGAATTGAAGAAAATTGATCCTTATCCTTCTATGGTTTGCAATTTGCGATTGAACTAAATTGATTAAGAAAATCATGAAGATATTAACTCATATTTGCAATTACAATTGAACAAATCCAACTCAAACAATCATCAGATGAGGAATAAAGAAGATGAACTAGCAAATCACTAAAAGCGTGAATTTAATAGCTGAGATTTTAATAGGATATGATAATTGATAAATCAATGAATGTCAATCTCAAAATCACTTTGAGAGAGAGAGAGATTAGATTCTAAATAAATAGAGATATTGAGATTCGACATCAACCAGATATTTCTCATTTGTCGCTCTAACGCTCTAGCATACCGGCAACAGACGTGTATGTTTAATCATAAATGATTATATGGCAGAGGTATAATCAAATGTTATTATATATGTTTATACATATATGTCTAATCATAAATGATTATACATATATTTGTGTTCACAGACAGATTAATCATATATGATTACACACATGCATGCATGCAATGGTTCTTTTGCGAACCTAAAAATTTGCAAGAAATTGAGAACTTCTAATCAGCTTAGTATTTTTCAAAATCAAACACATCAACATTAACGAAATGCAATATTTAAGTCATATCTAGACTAAAAAAAGATTTGATGTTTTTTTAATGAAAAATGTTCTCATAAATATGCATGCATGTGTATATATATGAAACATCAGTCATATTTGCATATTTAGTCAATGAAACCGTCATTATATATATATATATATATATATATATATATATATATATATATATATATATATATGTATAACGGCGTCCACAGTACATATGACTGCGTTCAATCAGTTTTGAGTTGCGAACGCTTAGTTCTCAAGTTCTCAAAAAATTTTAAGTTCTCACAATAACTTAGTCGTGTATATATATATATATATATATATATATATATATATATATATATATATATATATATAGAAGTGGGTTTGTGTACAAATGAGATTAAGATGTGAAAAAGTAAAGAACCAATAGGAAATAAGCATGTGTATAAGAGTAGTTTTTTTATTTTTTTTTTTTGTATTTCACACGTAATATTTTGATTTTTATAATTTTTTTATTTAAAAGGTTATAAATGTAATTTATCCATGTAGTTATCTTTTATGAATTTAACCATCATTGAAGAGTGAGTAGTCGGTTTTCAAATTGAGGTAACCGTTTATTCGTAATTGATTGAAGGTCTACGTTTTTGTTATTACAAATTTTATTCTGAGGTTTTATTTTAAGTTTTCTCTAGTATTAGATTATGTATTTCAACATTATTCAACATAATGTTTGCGTTTAAAGCGTTGTTAGATGCGAAAGTTAACAGGAATAGGCTAAGTTTGCATTCAAAAGTCATGAAGAAATTTCCAATTGCATCATAGAGAATGGTTTCCAGGAAGAAGGGTTATTTAAATGAGAATGTGGACAAAGTTGATTGCATGGTTAATTTTCATGATCATCCTATTGAAATAGAGGATGATGAAGTATCAGAAGGAAAAAAATTTCGATCTGATGAAGTTAATAACGAGAGTAAGTTATGATGTTTTGTTTTTAATGTTTTTCAAATTGACTTTTTTTATGATTTTTTTCGGTTTGATTTTGTTCTGCCTGTATGCTTAGATAATGAGAGTCCAATTGAGATTAATTCCAGTAATTCTATGAAGAAGACAATTGACATTTCATCTAGTAATTCTTGGAAGAAGAAAAAGCCAAGGAATAATGTTTATCAGTATGTGTATAGTTCAATGAAAAAGAGAAAACATGGTTTGTTTGGTTGATTAAACTCAAAATCATCTGATTCATACGGTTAGTTATTCTAATGTTGTTATTCTTTAAGTTAATTATTAATCTAGATTATAATTTTTTTTGTTGGACATAATTTAGATTATTGAAGTGATTCTGATTTTGAAGTTCGTAGCATTACAAGGAGCAAGAAGTTGGTTAACAGAAGTGATAGAAAATTTAGTAAAACAATTGTCTCCGAACATGGTAAAATTAAATATAATGTTATTTATTTATTTTGTTCCGTATTTATTGATTTTGTTTTATTAATTTTTTTATATTATTTTACAAGGTTTATATATTGATAATGTTGGTGTAGACTTTTCTATTGATTCTGACTTTGAGGATGGTACCAGTAGTAGTGTGAAGAGGGTGGATAAGATAGGTGATAAGAAAGTTAAAAAGAAAATGGAGTTGAATTGTGCTAAAATAAAATCATTGTATTCTCTTGTTTCTCTTCATTCTATATATGGCGTTGTGAATTCAATGAATCATAATAAAAAAGAATGTGTGAGGAGTTTGGGGTTTGGATCATTGATAGACATGAAGACTCAAAGTATTCCAGCTAAATTATGTTATTTTGTTCTTGATTCTTTTGATCCTTTAGAGATGGTTATTAAAAATGAGGTTTCTAATATTTTGGTTACAAGGGAAGATGTTAATAGGGTTTTAGGTTTGCCTATTGGGGTTGATTAGTTAAATAGTGTTGATTTAAGAGGTAATGAGGAATGATATGAGATATGGAAAGATCAATTCAAGAAGCCTTTGTCTTTAATTACTCCAAATGATATCGTGTACAAGATATTAGAACGATGTGAAGCAGATATGGTGTTTCTTGCAAATTTTATTATTCTTGTTTGTACATGTTTTGGATCATGTAACAAACAAGGTGCATGCAATTTGAAGCTTCTACCGTATTTGTCTCAATCATATAAGTTCGATAAGTTTGATTGGTGTACATATGTATTAAATTGTGTAAAAGAGGAAAAGTTGATTTGGGGCAGAAGTGATATTAAGACTTTCTTCAATGGTCCTAGTGTGTTTTTAACGGTATGTCATTTAATGTTATTTGATTAAATATTTTTAAAATATTAATAATATTTATATTTTGTTATTAATTTTTGTTTTTTTGTAGTTGCTATATGTTGATAGGATTCAATGTAGGCAAATGTTAATGGTTATAAGATATTCAGTAATTAATAACTGGACTTTAGAGCAGTTGAAAGTGAGAGAAATAAATGAAATTTTGAATGGAGGTTTTGGAAGACCATCTGCTACAGTGAAAAGTGTTGATGAAGTTTCTAGAGGATCAATTTTAGTAAGTAATGTTAATTGTGTATTTTTGATGATGAACATGATTTATTTGTTTAGTATTTTGATTTTATGTTTAAATTTTCAGTTTTAGATATTAATTATACTTTGTTATATTTTTTCTTGTTATCAGGAGTTTGATTCAGAAATGAAGGGGTGTTTAGTAGATATGTCTAAGAAAGTGGATAAAGCCTTTAATGTGACAACCCAAGTTGTCCCGTTACATTTCTCCGTTACCGTTAACGGAATTTTCCATTGTTCAAAAGTTCCGTTAATAAGAAACCGTCAAATTTAATAAACATTTCAATTGTGTATGTTTACATGTCGTTAAGTCGTGAAAAAGGAAATAAAACACAGGACACACATTTTCATTCATTTGGAAAATGTCAAGTTTTATTATTACGACCACTAAATCGGGTGCGACCAAAACCCCGTTTAACGGCAGTATCGGGTAGACTTCCACTGTGTCCCAACTCAAAACCCTATATAAGGGTGAGTGGAGTCTATTGGAGACTTTTTACACTCTCTCTCTATACTCTCTCTCTAGACCCGTTTTCGCCCCGAAACCGCAACCAAACGCTTCCAAATAGTAAGTCCGCTTACCCTAGCTTATTCTAAACATATTGAATTGAGTTTATAGCCCAAAAAGCGGACTTAGAAGCAATGAAAAAGGAGTTTACGGCCTAAGAACCTCCTTAGGCCGTAAACACCCAAAATGAGGCCAAAATGACCCAAACTTGTCCCAAATGGCTTGGAAATAAATAGAAGAATTAGCCTAGGAGTGTTTGCACATTTAAAACAATCATTTTGTGGCATAAAAGAGAGTTTACGGCCCAAGCACATGCTTAGGCCGTAAACACCTCTAAACCTTGTTTAAATGTCTCAAAAACACTCCCAAACCACACTAGGGCTTAACACATAAATTAAGGGCTTATTCCTTTGGGTTTGGATCACTTAAACACATCAAAATGAAGGATGAAAATGAGTTTACGGCCCAAGCACATGCTTAGGCCGTAAACTCCCCAAACATGCCCAAAATGTTGGTTTGTGTCCCCCAAATGGCCTTAGACTATTTCTATAAAATGCTAGGAAGGATTTAAGGACTTAAACACAATGAAATGAGGCTTGATTTGGAGTTTACAGCCCAAGCATTTATCTAGGCCGTAAACTCCCCAAAACCCCCTCAAATGTTGATTTTTATCACCCAAAATAGCATCAAACTTCATAAGAAAATTCTAGGAAGGCAATAGGGGTTTAAAACTTCACTAAACTCAAAGGTTGAGAGTTTACGGCCGTAAACTACCTTGGGAGAGTTCCTAGGCCGTAAACTCTTGTTTAGTACCCTTAGAGGCCTCAAACCCACACATACCTTTTAGGAAAAGTGCTTGGAATAATTCTATGAACAAGCTAGAAGCATCAAACACCCAAGAAATTGAACTTGGGAGTTTACGGCCGTAAACTCCTTGTTTGGTCCATGTTGGTGTTTTAAATCCATTTACACACTTGATATGTGAGTATAGCAAAGTCCCACAACTGATAAGAGACCCTTAGCACCCGTAAACGCTACCCGGGACCCCAAACACTCAACCAAAAGTGTTTTCCACTCCTTTGAGTGTGTATAATTGTTTAATTAGTATATTATATGCTAATTTTATGTGAACATATGTTATCATATGTTAAAATAGGTCTTTGTGTGTGTTCAAGTCCTTGCGTGACCCCGAACGCCCAATCGGCACTTTCATCGGACCTACTTACACCAGGTGAGTTCATACCCCTGAATGAACCTTTTAAATGCTTTTAAATGTTTTATAGGGGGGATACAAGTTAAACATGCCAGTTATCATGTCAATCGCATATGATTGATAACCCGCATGCACAAGATTTTACCACTTTTACACTGTTTTACCGAGTAGGACACTAAAATGACTTTTACCTGTTTGATAACTTTTACTTATACTGATTTATTCAAATTAATCCTAAATTGGTTTATGAAAGATCCTCTAAGGTTTTAAATGTATTTTACAAAGGAATACAATTTGTGATTTTCTCTGTACATAAAGGCTTTTCATTAAAGATTTCCCTTTTTGACTTATACTTTTACTTGTTAAACACTGCTGCTTCACTTATACTTATTTTATACTCTGACTCGGTAACACTTTCACTTATACCTATAGTCGCTTATACTTGATGACGCTTATACTTATTCACGCTCTTACTTAGTGATACGATTTCTCCTTCACTTATACTGGATAACGACTTTACTCCACTTATACTTGATAGACGTTCTTACATCACTTATTGTCGTCTCGGCTTCGTGATACACTTATACTTGGTATGCTTATACTTCATGGTTCGATTATCCCACACTGTACACGTATACTTCACGACTCGGATGTTCCACTGTACTCTTATACTTCACGACTCAGATGTTCCACTGTACACTTATACTTCACTGTATGATACACACTCAAGCGTAGTTAGATGTATGTTTATGCTTGTATAGATGCATATAAATAATGATTGAAGGACTTAGGAAGGCTTGTCCGCCCTATTTCCTTTTCTTCGTTGAGATGTGGTCTGGTGGGATCGGATGTCCATCTGAAGGTCGTTCGATTCATTAGTTATATATTATGTATACGAGCATAGACATACGAGTTTTCTTCAGTCAATTCAGTTAAGAATCTATACCTCTAGTCTACACTTACACAAGAAACCCACTCTCTCCTAGTAACACACTATCCTCTATTTGGGATGCATCTTCGGGACGCGGCCTTCTCCGTCGTCTAGTTGGTAACCAGAGTCTCCTGTAGGGAGAGCGGACATTGTGTGTATAGGCCTATACGGGATTGACAACCCCGCACCCTGACTGCTAGCTACAGTCCACGGCCTACCAAGCCAAGGGGTGACAAATGTCACATTATATAGATGCTTGTAGGGCGTCTAGTACTCTAGTCAGTATGGTTACGAGTATCCTGGGTTGCCTTATAATTCATGGCTTTAAGGTAACGGTATTTCGTCAGCGATTTACACTGTATGCTGATATCACTTTTTCAGAGTCACACTGTTTGACCTTACAAGATGTATCTTTCATTTGATACCGTCTGGGGTCTGTTATCTCTGTTTGACCTTACAAGATGTATCTTTCATTTGATACCGTCTGGGGTCTGTTATCTCCGTTTGACCTTACAAGATGTATCTTTCATTTGATACCGTCTGGGGTCTGTTATCTCTGTTTGACCTTGCGAGATGTACCTTTCATTTGGTATCGTCTGCGGTCTATCTTCATTGTTATGACCTTGCAAGATGTACCTTTCATTTGGTATCGTCTTCGGTCTGCGTTCACTGTTTTAGACCTTACCAGTTGTACCTTTCATTTGGTACCTTCTGGGGTCTGTGTCTCATTTGTTAGACTGAACCAGGTGTGTCGTTAGTTCGATACTTTCCTGGAGTCTATGACTCTTTTGCCTTAGTCAGCAGTCCTCACTGCTGAGGCATATGTTATTCCCTGATGCCTCTGCTTTCTTTAATAATCAAATTCAGTATTTTGATACTAATAGCAATTAAGGGAAACTTCTTCTTACCACATTACACTGACCAGTCTTGGTAGAAGGCTGCTTTTATTAAAGAAAATATAGGATTTTCTGGAAAGAACGCTAATACACTGAAATCACTTAAACTACTGCTTTATAAAGTTATTTGACTAAATGACACTAAATACTTATGAACTCACCAGCATTGTAAAAATGCTGATACTCGCTTTTCAAATAACTTGTATTCTCAGGTTAGCATTAGACAGGTACATCCCCGGAGCTGTTGATGAAGATAGCTTAGTACCACGCTGTATTTATTCTATTACTTGTATTACTTTAAATTGTTGTAATGTAACCTTGTAAAACTATTACTATTAATGCAATGTTTTGTTGTACTTTGATTACTATAATGCATGTGTTGTGATACTTGACATGACGTCATCCACCCCAGAACGTTTCCGCCGTTCCGGTTTTGGGGTGTGACAGATTGGTATCAGAGCATTGTTTATAGTGAGCTATGTATATCAATTTATAAAAGATATACAGCCTATATATGCAATGGGATAAAACACTCTGAACAATAAATTATACTTTAAAATATAACCATATTTTACCAAAGTATAATAACATCCAGAATCTAAACACTCGAACACAAGTATCACAAGAAGAACAAGAATAAAAGTCTTCGGATGTTGAGCCTATAGACAAACCTGGGCAGTTATGTAATCATGAGCTGGAATAAATGTAACCTGATCAACTACCTTTATTCGAGATGCGATGAACGTGTGCTCGGGAGTGATTGTGGTGTGCAACAGGTCTGAAACTTACCAACTAGGATTTGTTAGAGCCAAACAT